TCTTCCTCAGCCAGCAGAAAAAGGAGTTTCTTTCTGCTGCTTCCTGGCTCTGCTTCCAGAGACACCCAACTGACCTCTAAGGAATTTTCTTCTATCTGCTTACCTATAATGCTTAACTTTCCCTCCCAGCCAACACCCACCTTCCTCAGCTTTTGGTGGTTCAGTTTCTACTTCTTTCCCAGCTCTGTTATGGAGGCCATTTCTCAGAAAACTAGAATACATGTTATCCACAGCCTGGCAATGGGTCAGGTGTTTTTTCTCCCAGCTTCACCTCTGGAGCCACCACTGCATGGGAAGCTTTAACAAATTGGTATCTTTCAGCCTGACCTCACAGGGTTACTATGAAAATAACAATAGTTTAATTTTGAAGCACAACCCTGGTCAACGCAGGTGGTACTAAATTCCTTTAAGGAAAGGCAATATAAATTATTGCATCTATATAAGCTGCTGAACTAAACTGGGGAATAAAATCACAGCAAGCACAGAAATCGGTAACAGATTGAGTCAATGATCTTTCTAGATTTATTTGCTCGCTGTGAATTTATCCCCCTCTTAAGTTTGTACAGTCTGGAATTGCCCTTAACTAAACAGAGGGGTGATGAGTCACAGTTTGGGACTACGTGGAGCAAACCTCAAAGCAACACAGGCCCAGAGGCTCAAGAGGACTGAGGGAAAAATGCTGTGGTAGGCAGCTGAAGGGGCGGGGGGGGGGGGGGGGGGGGGGGGTAAAGAAAGGAAAAAGAGCAACTGGGTGTTTATATAAAGCTTTCAGAAGCCGTTTCCTTTACAAAAAACAAAATCACATGGGTTTTTAAAAAATTATATCACAGCTATGGAATTCTTCCCTACCCACTCATAAATGTAATACCTCTGAAGGGGAAAAAGCTAGTATACTATGGGAACTCTTTTTAATCTGCTATGATCAATTAAATATTAGTTATTAAAAGCAGGGTTTGTACTTTAAATAACCAAAAAAAAATTAAAAGCCTAAAATTAAGATCTGCTTACATGCAGTCAAAAGGAAGAACTGGACCCGGTGGCAGCTTACAAAATCCTTTTTGTTATTTTACCAAACTAATCCAAATGAGGTCTAACCAACTGCTTGAGCAAAACTATACGATCACTGCAACACTATGATTCAACCCTTCTATAAACACAGTGCTGGAAACATAAATTCAAGAGATACGTCCAGCCCAGAGGAATCTTTGTGTGGTCCATGGATTCTTAATGCCAGACTCTTAAGAATCACAGTTTACTGTCTCAAGGAAACAGTAGGTTAGATCTAAAATGTTGGGTTGGATCCAAAGGCCCCCTGCCATTCATAAAAGGAATAATTCTGCCCATGGATGGATTGCTTCCATCAGTGAAAGACACCATTCAAGAGTGGAAAGATATTTTCAGATTAAATTTTATGGTTTGGCTCCAACCCATTAAGCTGCTAGCCCTCTTTATGATAGAAATTAATCCGAAATTGTAAAATGCTTGGAAACAATTGAACAAAACAAGAATGGCCCCAATGTCTCGGCTTTTCAACACATGGGCAGCATTTGAAGTCTGGCACTCTGACTGTAGAACTTGAACTCAAATCCCAGTGCAGCCATAAACTTTTTAGTAGTTGGTCAAGGCTAAGTTGCTACTATACAGACTTAGCTTGCTCTTTGTAAAAGGGAATAGAAACAAACTTCTTCTTATATACAATTATTAATAGGCTGAATGGAATCAGATTTATTGAAAAACTTTATAGGACTAAAAGGGTCATAGAAATTACAGTATTAATGACTTTCTATATTTAGCTGTCAAGATTTCCCCCCAAGGACTCTTCCATATTTGCCAATCAACTTTAGAGAACAAATCCTATAGAAAGTGCATTACTATGTCCACCTACTGCAGTTCAGCAATCAGATATTTGTGGAAATGAGATATAGAATATGTCAATCTTAAGTAACAAGGGGTTGGATCATACAAGCTATTCTGCTGATAAAAGAGATGGTGCTTCTGGCCACCAAAAAGGCTATGCCAAGGATCATGGGAGCTGTGTGGACAAAAACCACACTGCAGTGAGGAGTGGAATCAGGTCAGTGGAAGCGCTGGTAGGATCCAATCCAAGATTAATTCTCTAATAGCATGTATTATGTTGGTGCCCTGCACTTTGTATTAACTACAAAAATCCTCCTCTTTTGTGATCTAAAGCCAGTGTTTGACCCAATAAGGTTTTAACTGCTGGAAGTGAAGGACACTGCGCTGTCTCTTAGCCTCAGACTTCAGAGTGGGACTATAGAGAGTCAGAGAGATAGATAGGCCAGGACCCTGATCATCCTTCCCTTCTACTGCTCTGATACTATCCCTTTGATGTGTAGGTTGCTACTCTCAGGGAATATTTCTTCTGGCCTGACACCTTCTCTCCACACTATGGTATGCTTCCCCATCTTGGCAACATGAGGGCAGGACATGGGCTGCGATCACATACACTACATAATCCACTTTGAATCTACTTTCAGTTCACTTTCCAACTGGATTTTACTGTGTGAACTGGCACAATTCAGTTGGAAAGTGCATTGAAAGTAGATTATTTAGTGTGTGTGACCACAGCCATGCTTTCTGCATCTCTATCCATCCTAGCTAGTTAGACTAGATTAGAATCCTCTCTAGTCTATCCTGTTTAGAATGGAGTTCCTTACAATAAAGGACTCCTATTAGTTTTGCAAAGATAAAGAGGCTCCATCTGTAACTTTGTTTTTGTCAGCACACACAAACCAGATAGACTCTGCTGCGTTATGTGCCTTGAGCACTCTGCTAATCCTTCATAAACTCCATTGTTTGGTATTAGTTCTGCTTGTAATATCTTCCCCCTCACAGGACCCCTGTTTTGACATGATCTGTCGCCAGTATCCTCCACTGAACTACATGGCAGATCTCCAAAGATGTAGACCTGTGTCATCTGAAACCATTACAGATTAAACGTGTTTAAGGTTGGCTTAACGACTAAAATGGATTGAATATCCAGATGGGCTTGATGAAGTACAAAGAGCCCACCTTGTAATACCTGCCATTATGCAACTTATGGTTTGGAAAAAAGAAGCAGTATTAAGGAGCATGTATCAACCTACAGCAGAATATTTTTAGGTGGAAAAACACATTCTCTTTCAAGCTGCATTGCAATCAGAGCTTCTCACAATCCTAGAGGATGTGCCAAAAGATTTCCCTACCACAGGGCTTCGCTGGTGTTAAGAACTGCGGGAGTTAAGATAAAACACATGGTCAATAACAGTCTCAGCTTGGAATCTGAGGCTGCACCTACACAACAACAACTTTCTGGAATCCCTCTGTAGCTACTGTGAATGCATTTGCAGTGGAAATAGAACATCCATGCAGTCATTTTCTCTTCACTTTCCTTGTCTCATCAGCCCCCTTCAGCCAAAATTCCCTTCTCCCCATGTCACTGGAGGGTTATTTCCACCCTTAGGAAAAAACAGGCAATTACCATTAATGTTAAATTACAACAATATGTCAATTACCAATTTTAAACTACAGTAAGATGTTAATTACATTTGGCAACTGGTATATTGCTGTAGCTTAAAACTGGTAATTGGTGGACCTGGGGAAAGAAAATGACGCTGATGTGGGCAAAATGTTCAAAAATCTCACCTTCCCATCTACATAGCCCACAAACGATCTAGACTGCAATCTTTCCTGAAGGATTGTACCAACCCAGTGTCAAACTCGGGCCTTGTTTGTCATATATCTGTCTATATCTCTTCACTGTCTGCCTTTGGTGACCCTTTGTAATGCCATGTTTCATTCCTGCTGCTATGTTTCAGTCCTGTTTCATCCCTGCTGGGAACAAAAGGGTGTGTGGGTGTGGGTGAGTGCCTGTAACTGCTTTGCTGGGAATAGTGATGGCTTGTAACTGCATCTATTGCGGGCCTCCCCATGGTGGGAATTATGCCTGCTTAGCCTTGAGTACCAGACACTGCTAGATAATATAATCGTAGGCTTGCAGATGTTGGAGGAGGGCTGCTGGGGCACCGTAGGTTTTGGCGGGCTGAATGTCTGGGTGTGATTGGA